AAATTAATGCAGATGTTTTTTGGAAACAGAGATATGTGAGGCATCTTTGTGGTGGGAAAACTTATTCAAGTGACATAACAGTACCTAGTGATGTGTCACCTACTGCAGTCTCCATTTTTTTCTTTCCTTTACATATTCAACCAAGAAATAATATTCATCCCCCACCCCCTCATGTTAACCTAAAGTGGTCCCAAAGTACAAAGAACTGAGACTTTACCCATGGGGTAGACTATGTTCGTCTCCGAATAAAGTTGGTGGGAGCTGAGGACACTGAGCATCTGTCTATATTTAAACAAGGCTACAGGGGGTGACCTGTGAGCACCTTCCAAGAGTGTAATAAGTGATGCATCCCATGGGGCTGCCTTTTGCATCCTCTAATTTGGAGAGTGCAATGCTTCAGCCTTTTCAGGGCTGGGGTTGGAAAAGTTGGGATTCATGCTTTCCCTGCCACGGGGTCTGAGTTGTATGGCAGTACCCCCAGGCTGTTCAGCAACTTAGCTGACTTGAAATAGAACACTGGAACAAAATATGTTCTGAGTGATTTTTAAGTAAAAGCTAATGTGAAAATGTGGGAGCTTGAACCAATGTAAACACATTAAATTTAAAATTATTTTCAAATGTAGTAAAGAAAAAAATAGTGTTTCTGCTCTTGAAATACTTAAAGGACATATTTTTCCTTCTGAGTAATTATTTAATTAGATTATATTTTATTAGACATTCTTTACAAATTTTAAAATACTGCTATTATACATGCACAAAGGAAAATCAGTTTGAACAATTGTATGTAGGCATTCATTGAAATCAACCACAAAACAGGAACATTTCATGTCAGTTATCAATTTACTTGATATGTATATCTAAAGTGCATTATGTTACAAAAAATATAGAAAGTCAGCAGCACCAAGATACGTTCACAAAATAAATACACCAGTCAACAAAATAAATTATGGTAAATGTGACAATAATAATTGTTTTAGCCTTAGCAAAAAAAAAAAAAAAAAAAAAAAAAAAGAAAATTCACAATAACCAAATGTGCAGTTTCAGAGAGCAATGGGGGAAAAAGGTTTTATTCTGGGCATTTACAATATTTACAGGTAATAAATATTTTAATACTTCCCATATGTTCACTATTACAGAATACTGCAATATGTCTTCCAAAAATCTCTTGCTGAAAATGTCAGCGCCTCCTGAAAAGAAAAAAAAGATAGAAAAAATAGAAAAATTAATTATCACTGCAAATACACAGACAAAATATTAATAGCAAGAGTGCCCCAGACTATAATGTGTGTGTATTGCTAGTAAAGATTTGCAATAATAAGGCCTATTTAACAACACTACAGTTCTAGACATCTTTTCCAAGACCTTTACTATATTTCTTTCAATGCAACTCAGCTAACATATTCATATGTAAGAAGACCTACAGTTTGTCACAACACTGAGTCCATCTATTCCACTATGTTGTACACTCAGAGAAATAGGAAGGGGCTTTAGTTTTCTTTACAGTCTTATGCAAGAAGATTCCCGAGTGCTACAGGCAGAAAAATTGAATCAACCTATAATAAATATGCCAAGTGCTAAAAAGTTGGAGAAATTGGAAAATTGTTTTGAAGATAAGAAAAAGAATTATTGAACGTTGGCAATCATGTTCCTGCTGTGTTACCTGCTTGAGTGCAATGCTGGGCTTCTGATTAAAACAGTCCCACGGGGCTTATTTGGTCTATCTTTCCTACTGAGAGACTACCTATTAGTCAAGGGTCTGTTTATCTTAGAGGTATATATTTCTACGCTGTTGTGTACATGAGTATATGCAGTACTTATGCAGTAAAGTCTGCTCAGGTCTTGAGCTGAACAGATCCTTGATAACAAGTCTCTGTAAGCACTTGAATGAATAGAAAGACTATAATCCTGAAACTTTCCCTCTGTGAGCCGAAGCGCTTGGTCCTGAAAGAAAACGAGCATCTTGTCGTTTTAAGCTCTGACTCATGTTGCATCCAGTCAAAACTGAGTCAGCTGTACACAGTCCTAAGATTTGGGAGTTTTCTAAGGGATGCTGGCAGCCTGGTGTAAGTCCTGTACTCCTCCCTTCCTTGTGAGGGCATGAGAACAAAAGCAGAGCCTGGTCCTACCCTGTTAGTATATTATTTATACTTATTATTTTAAGTCACTTTTTAGCAGTGCTACAGGAAATACTGAAGGGTTGGGCTTTTTTCCCTTCTGTCCCTGTGAACAGCACATTTCTGTAATATACATTGGTTCCCTGGGAAAGAGCTATAGGATGGAATGTGAAGCTATAAGATGGAGTGGGATTCACTCTGTTGCTGGACTGATCGCCAAAGCTGTGGGTAGCATTCCACGTGACAGAGATGTGTGGGTGTGAGATACAAAAAAAGCAAATCCTAGAGAGTTTAAGAGGGGTGGGGTTTTTTTTTGGTTTGGGTTTTTTTTTTTTTTTGTGCACATTAAAAGTGAGATTACATTTAACATTAGGGAGTCAACTAATTTGAAAGGTTTCTTAGGAAATTAGGTAACAACAGTTTAATTGAATTGGAATGGGAATATAGCTGGAATGTCCATGAGAAAGAATTTTTTAAGTGCCTGGGATGGAAATGCTAGCATGAAATTCCTTAATAATTACCTAGCAATATTAGGATGTATTCAGGCTATATTACAGTAACTGTAATAATGACACACAATTCATACAGCATGACTGTATATGTGCATCCGCACTACACAGGCCTGTTTTTAAGAGGGTGACGTTTTCAATTTGGCTTGTATTTTAGGCTTTGTTTTAAAGTTTAAACTAAGCCACATCTTGACAATAAGCTCTGTACTAATGACTACTTGCAAGCTACTTTATTTGATTTAGTCCCAGATTTTGCAACATTGGCTTCTTTTATGAGATACTTCCTGTAGTAATCAAAAAGATCTAGAGAGCACATTATTTTTGGTCTTTTTTCCTGACCTAAATCCAAAATTTTGGGATCAAGACTGGGTGGAGGGAATTTGAACAAGGATTTTAGTTCAGTGTATTGAGCAGATAAGAAGCACAGAGATACAGTGAAAACCACACTTGAAGTTTATCTTTGCCCTTCCTTGACATTTGCCCTGCTGCATGATGCTTATCCACTCCTTAACTGTAAAGTAGTAATGCTTCTCCTAAACTGCAGCTCGCCTTAGGGGTGCTACAAAAAGCAGCTTCTATTGGTGTAGCATATGGAAATTCTGTTTGCACACACCTTCCTTGCCGCCCACCCATGCATAGAGTAGAAGTTCCTGATTCAGCTCAGTACCACTAAGGAATCACTCAGATGTGGCCATCCCTCCATGTAAAATGTGCTTGTCTACCTTGTGCCAACAACGGCATTGAACCTGACTCGCCCTGTCTAAAGCACAGGGAGTTGTCATGGAGCTGGGACTTGCTTTCATTTAAAGTTTAGAAATTATCTTTTGCCAGCCTACTGAGATAACTACAAGCTCATATACTAACAAGTTTTTAAGAGCTCAAACAGCATATTATGCTCTATACTTGTGAAGGGGGAGTTTTGTTTTCCTGTTCTATAGCTTATCTTTGTTTAATCATCTTCAATTAGGTATCTAAAATATAGATAATCTTCAAGAATCTATTTCTTACTCTGGAGAAATACTGCATCATGGGCAATAATATCAGTAAGGTAAAGCTGGAGATTGCCTTCAGCAGTCTGGACTCCACAGTGAAGCTGACTGCCTTCAGTCATCCAACCATACTTGAAACAGAAAGGCTGAACTTGGAAAATCAGCAGGGTTGTAATTCTTTTATATATCCCATTGGATATACAACCAAAGACAGTAGTAAAAAACCCAAATAACAGTCAAAATGCCCTAGGATGTTTTTTGCCTACATACAAGATGCTATTTCTCTGTGCTGAAGACAGATGCTATTTATTGGCCACCACATTTCCTTAACACCTGTTGAAATATCAGGCATCTCTTGACTGGCGTCCCAGAGCACGCCTTTCCTAAGGCACTGATACAAACCAGCCTCTCTTACTTCACTACTGGCTGTTGCAGCCATGCTAACTGGTTTATGGTCTGGGACATTGAAGGCCTATCCCCAAATGACAGTAATTCCTGTAGATACCAGCAGAAGTTGAGGCAATGGTGCACATTGCAGACTGTGGCCTGTAAAGTTTAATCTGAGACTGGATTTTAGTAAATCTCAGAGCTGGCGTCTCTTTCTAAGGGAGCAAGAGGCACTTCTTTTTTGTCTCTATTCTTCCAAAGTGAAGGGGAAGAGTAGAGAAAAGGGTGGGGGTTTTGCTGTTGAAAATGCAAACATTTAAAAAGAACTGAGGAGTGGACTCCTTGGCTTGGACTGCAAGTGTGGAGACTTCCACTCAAGCTGAGGTGACTGCAGGTGGATGAATCACTTGGGGTACCTGAGCTGAAGCCTTCAGCTCTCCACTGCCCTGAAAACCCTTCATTGTCATACATGAGGGAAGCACGTCTCTCTCCAAAAGCAATGCTCAACATTTTTCAGCAGCAACGTAATTGTTTCACAAGCTGGCAAAAAGATGGAGCTGAATTAAAAAGTCCTAATGGCAGGGAAAATTTTATGGTGAAGACTGGTCTGCATTGTTTGCAGATATTACTAAGAGAGAAATTTTCCATGTTCTCCCCTAAGGTTAAACAGTAAAATGAAAACCTGTAAAGTAAGGGTAGGAAAGTTGCCAAAAAGGGGAGGTGTCGAGAGGGAGGAAAGAAAACTTGGACATTTTATAGATGCAGAGCCTTAAATGAAACTCAAAGCTTTCAATCTGCTGAGGCCCAAGCGTGGGACCTAGATTTAACAAGAGAGACACTACGGTTAAAACAGGAAAAGGTAATTGAACGGCTATGATGTGCTTTCTTTTTGCAGAAATAATTTTACTTACTACTCACTCAGCTTTGGGAAGCTCATTTGGGCAATAAGTGGTTCATGTGAATCGTTTGTCATAGGAAAGAAAGACTTTGTCACCAGTACAAAGTGGAAAGGGTACTTACTTACCTCCAGAAAGCACCTTGGGACTGTACACTGCTTGAAAAGTCACTGTCCAGTTATGACCATAAAAATGTGCTATTACTCTAGGTTTGAGTGAAGCCTTGAAGGATAACAATTTCAGTAAATATATGGTATGCCCCCCAAAAGGATATAGCAGAAGTACCTTAAAGTGTGATTATGTGTAGTAACAGAGTTTTCCAAGAGTGGACTCTCGGTCGTGCCACTTCCATACATGCCAGAATTTAGCCAGGCTGAGCGGGCTCGCCTCTTTTTCTTCTCTTGTTCCTTACGTTTTCCAGGTTTTGCTTTCTTTTTCTTCCCCGATGCCTTCAGGGGCTGCTCCTTGTATGTCTGTGATTTGTTTGTCTCCTGAGTTAGGTATCTGCCCTCATCTTCACTGCCAAATCGGACAGGGTAGTTCTTTGTGTTGGTAGCAGGCTTAGGGTTAGGAGAAACCTCAGAAGTTGCACGGATTTCGGCAGTGTTGACACCTTCAATTAAATTTTGAAGGAATATTCTTCTTCGTAAGTCTTGGATTGACTTGCCCTTGTCATGTAATAGCTGGTGCTCTGATACAGCCCGTTTGCTAAAGAAAGAGAAGAGAGAAGGGAAAAAAAATTTTTTTTAAAAAATAGGATTTGGTTATTGCCCAGTACTTGGCAAAGCTCCTTTCCCCTCTGGCAGTGGTGGCTGCAGTGACTGTGTACCATCTCTCAGGCTTCAAGACATTCAGTTAAGTCAGACTGCTGGAGCAAGTCCTGCTTCTCAGAGTAGCTGCTCCCTACAGAGAAGGGAAAGACCTAAGCGGGTAATAATTTTCAGCTGACCGATCACACACCACTGAACCTGGAGTTGGATTAGTCACTGCTCTGTTCTAGGAAAGCATTGCAACTCTTAATATATCACACTTCAGGCAGTAAAAGCAGGAAGGCGGTTGTCAGAGAGAGCGAAACTAAAGGGTCAGATGATGGAGCACTGCAGTCAAGCAAGAGAGGGAATAACAAGCACTTATACTTAAGCCGGAAGCAGTGTTTATACAGCATCATTCTAACAATTTTCTTCTGCTCAGTCATGCACTTCAAAAACATAAATAAATACATAAAAGTGTATTTCATTTCTAAATTTAAATAAGTGTAATTACAGAAGCGTAATGGAAAAATGTTTGAATCTGGGTGCCTAAAGCGTAGGCACTTCAGTCCATAATGAGCTCATCCAGGGAGGCAGCAGCCTGAGAATCAGCAGAGATGAGCCTCAGACACTCCAGTTGATTTTACCACTTGGCCACTTGTGTCTAATGGTTTAGACATCCATCTATGGTTTTAGATGCCTTTCTAGTGTTCCTTTAAGCCTGACCTTTTGGGGACAAATTTCTTGTCTGCTGTGCTCTCTGAATTTTATGCTAGCTCTCTTTACTGGACCTTCTTCAAGGGGCTCTTGGTTTGTTTGAGTGGGTCTCTGGTACTTTTCCAGAGTTTGTGACCTTTTGGTTCACTAAGCTCTGTCTCGTTTTCGAGGAACTGGGAGGTGGTTAGCTATCTGTCTTTTAGAGATGTTGTACTGGCAAAGAAGGTATGAAACGTCTGAGGAAAGAAGATACAAGGGGCACCTGGATAATAAATAACCGTGAGAAAATACATGCTTTTTTCTTGGTGTGGGATAGACGCACAGCTGCACTGTGAAGCACAGAAAGAGTGCAAGCTGGGATTTTAGCTATGTTCCCATGAATGCTATAATACACTTTATCCTTCCAATTGCTCTTCATCAGTGTACTGAGATTGGCTACGTATCCTCTCATCTTGCATCAGGGTACTGCATGTGACTGGATTCTTACTGGCCAAAGAAAATGAATTCACTGCCTTGCCTGTTGTATAATCATTTGGTCAGTTAGCTGGATAAGAAGTTGTTTCTGAATGTGAGTGAAATGGAAGAAGACACATAACTGTGAGTGAATATTCCTTCCTTCCGTCCCATCCCTAATTATCCTGTTACGTTACCAGGTTTCAAAATGTGGTGGACAAAGATAGCATGCTAAATGATTGGGATGCTATTTATCTTTCTCAGGCCCTTCAGCCAAACTCTTTAGATCTGTGATTTGATCAGCAGTAGAGTTATTTGAAATTGGCAACTTCAAGTAGCACTGGTTTAAGAGCATCCCCCTCATTTTGTCTTTGTGGAGCTGTACTTTTAGAGTGTTGGGTTCAAGTGATATTACTTCTCTATTATTCAGTGTAAAATTGAAATAGCAGCTTTCCCCCATTCCACAATGAGCCTGAAAGATAACTATTGTTTTTTCATTAATTCATACAGGAGACATACTTGCTCAAAATCAGGCCTAGATATGCTCAGGTTTGTGAACCCACAATTGACTAAACATTGTCTACATTTCATGCATCCCAAAATTAGTTTTGTATGACTTCAGGCTTGAAGACAAGTATTTTATGCCCTTCAACTCAACGCCTCCAAGCAAAAATGCAATGTGATAATTCTGAGCTGAACCCATACTGTTCCTTTCTCTTCAGTGCAGCTGTGACCATTAACACAAGTTCAAGATTTCCCCCAGGAGAATTTTTTGACCAGTGCACTCCCTGAAGCTCTCCAACAACCATTTCTAACAACTTTCTCTGTTAAGGTCAGTCTGATTTGCAAGTATGCTAATAAAAATAGCACCTTGGACTCCTCTGAGTGGCATACTTCTGTGCTGCTTGTCAAGCAGTCCGTTGTGGCTCATGTTACCCTCATAGCCTCAATAATCTATTTTCCCAGGATATTTGCAGTTCTCCTTTCACTCTTCTAGTTTATAAAAAGCATAGAAAATCTTAGTGCTTTACTGTGTCTAAACCAGTATGTCTCGTGATGAGCAAAGCTTTCCTCCTGCCTCTTGCAAACAACCAAGGATAATTCCTTTTATCACAGACAACCTAAAGCTGCCTTAATCCTGTAATGTGTATTTGGTCAATTTACCCACTGCGACAAAATCTTGAATCTCTAAAGCTTGCTATTAAAGTCCTCTTGATTGAAAAACTATTCCATTTTACAGAGCTGGAACCTAAAGATTTGGTTCCAGTACACACAAGGCAAAGAGCATTACAAGCTCTACATCTCGAGTGAGTATGTGTTTCCAAAATAATGCAGTGATTGACGTGTGGAGGGTTAGTGTGCCAAAGAGGGTGGGTTTCTGTTTAAATATCTGTATGATATTTAGCATCAAGTCTGGCCCCAAATAACGTTCTGCTATTCCAGATGATTGTATAACATTCATAGGGTTACATTTCACATGACTTCTATTACTCAGCCAGACTGAAGGATTACATTTTGCCTACCGGTTTCCTTTGTATGCTCTAGATCAAAAATCTCCTTAAAACAAAGAAGATGTGGTAGATACATATCTCTTTGACCTTCTGCCTCCTTCTGCCTCAGTTATTCAAACAACTCCTCTGTTTGTAAATCAGGGAGAAATACTTGCCCAAGAAGGCTGTTGTAAGAAGTACTTCATAACGGAGATATCAACAATATCTCACCCACACACACAGAGTAGGAAGGCAATGGAAACTGGAATGATTGCATTCACATCTTGGGTACGATATGTAAAAAAATATTAGGCTGTTAGAGTTAAGATGACCCACTAGAGGTCCCTTCCATCCTTCTATAAAATGCGCCTCTCATTCAAGGAAAAAGAGTCTGACCCCAAACCAAGTTCAGTAAATGCTAAGCTTACATGTTGTAGGCACTTCTGAGAGAAGGATGTTGATGGCTTCTATTTGACCAGAGTGTCCAAACTAATTACTGTATCCAAGTACACTATGTGCATACCAGACTTAACGTCTCATTATGGGGAAAACAGTAGAAATCCATGACTTGTGACTATCCTGACTTCATGTACTTCCAGATAAGCTGTTCTTTTCAGGCACATTCTTTCTTTATTTTTTTTTCCCCCTAGATATCTAGCATCACTGAGAGGCAACATTCTTCAAGCAACAACTTTCTGCCTCAGAGTTGCTGTTATTTAACTCTTATTATCCTTGACTATTTACATTTGACCTGACCATAAATTCAGCAAAATAACCTGAAATGATTTAGTCAGCTATCTGTCTGGATTTTGCAAGGCTGAGTGCCCTTGCCACTGCCTCCAAAGGGAGTGAAAGCTGCTCAACCTATCTCAGGGTTAGCAAAAATATTTTGAACGGATCTGGGGACATGATGCTGCAGTGTCTGGGCATGCTGATAAAAATATCTGATTTCACTTTGAGGCATTACTGGGTTTCTCAGAAGTTCTTTAGCAGCTAAAGCATTTCTATAACATATAATATGTCTGGCAATCTTTTCTTAGGACGGTTTGCTACTGCTTTCCATGGGACATTTGCCTCAGTAAAGTCTGTAGAACCAGGTCTCTGTCATTTTGATTATTTTTGCATGGCTAAAATAGTGTGCTTCAGTATTTTCATCCATTACTTGTTTAAGCCTTTGACTGGAAAAAAAAAATCTCTAAGTTTAAGTGAGTTATTAACCATTAACTCTAGGAATGGTTTGTGGTGATATTAAAACAGGAGACATGTTTGAGTGTGGTGTCTGTGTTTGTGCTGTACCCACAAACAAAACTACGTGAATACCACTAACTGACAGTTAACTGGTTTCTTGTGTGTGTTTTTCATGCCATAGCAAAGAGGGAGCTGAGAAATGCATTTTGACTGTTTAGCTTCCACTTTTTTCCACCCTGTCAGGACAGAATGGTGATGTAGGGAAGATCTCTAATCCTGACCTTTAAAAACAAGTGTTAGAATAACACTAGCTTCAAAGAGAGAAAGAGTATTTAGTTGAAAATCTACCTTTTTGAAAAACAAATTTGGCTTAGATCCAGGTCAGAGTTTCTTAGCCAAGGAAATACAGCATTTGACTGCACTTAAATTGTTTTCATTTTTTTTTTTTTATTTCTGAAAATGCGGTTTAGTTCCTCTGCAACCCAAGAGAAGAAAACAGTCTCAAATGAAAGAAATAGCTCAACAATAGCTTGCAGGAATACAAAAGAGCTAAGCATTAATGGACTGGGAAGAACACACTGTAGCATTATCAGCAATAACATGTTCTACACAATTTGCTGTAGGAGATGTGTAATAGCTGTATGCCTGGAGCCAAATTTTAGGTGTGTCTGAAGTCACTTCACCTGGGGGATTTCTTTGGTTGCTTAAACGGCAGAGGAAGTGCTATTTGGAGATTTTGTCCTTATGTATGTAACAAAACAGTTACAAGGAAACCCATCTGAAATTGTTTGCTGTGTCATGATTCCCTATGAGTGGTGACTGGATTTTCTAACCTTAATTCTCCAACCTGACTTCCTTTTGAACTTGGTAACAATAGAGCCCTCCACTGTATGACTGAAGCACTTCTTCCTTAGAAAATCTGATGCAAGCCCAGTGAAAGCCAGTGAGTTAGGTGGGCAAGACAGCTACTCCTACATCAGCCCAGTGGCTTCTCTTCTGCATTTTGCATAGGGGACATTAGTATGAAAGATGTTGATTATTTTGGAAGGAGCAAAAAGGTCATTTCCTGAACAGACTCTCTGAAGTTACATTATCATGTATCCAAAACCGTGTTTCTGTCTCCAAGTCGGATATTAGACACCCTGTGGATTTTTATTTTTTTTTTCCCCCTGAAGTGGCAGAAATCAAAAGTTCACTTCTCCAGTTTCCTGATGGCCCTCACTACTGCATGTTTCCCCTGTCCTTATCAATATTGGCTCCATGCCAGTGCCGGAGAAGTGTATGTACGTTATTTAATGTAACATCCAGCAGTTTGATAAAACGAGGTGTCCCCTACTAGGACCCTCCCAGGGTGCAGAAATGTGCACAGGCTGAACAGCACATGTTGGATAAGCACACAGCTGCATCGCTGCTCCCCACGGAAGAAGAGACCCTCAGCCTTAATATCTCCTTTCTCTAACGCTTTATAAGTTCAGATGGCTGAAAAAAACCCTTTTCCTTGCCCCAAACGCCTTTTGCCTGGCGCGTGGACCCCACCACACCTGAGCACCTGGGGCAGGTAATCCGGAGTGCTTCTGGAGCCTGCAAAATCCCCCACATCCTCCGGGCTGCTCCCGGCACCGGGGGGACCTGGCCACCTCCCTCCCCACCCGCTCCGTCACCGAAGTGAAGAAAATAAATAAATAAAGAGAAACTCACAGTCTGCGGCTGATCCCCTCTACTGATCTCCCGTAAGAGGGCACGGTATAACTCAGCAGAAACACTGCGAAACTCCACTGCTGAAAGAGTTTAGTGAACATTGTATCCTCCGGATCTTAAAACCTGCAAGGAAAGGGAGATCAGTCCCCAGGGACACATGCGCCAGCGCCGGCCTCCAGCAGCCCCCGCTTTGGGTTCTGCCAGCTCCGAGCCTGCGGAGGAAAAACAAACTTTCTGCGCCCTCGGCAGCGGCTCACTTCTTCCAAACTTCGCTCCGTCTCTCTCCCTTCCTTGCTGGCTGGTTGTCCCTCCCTCCCTGTCTCTCTCTGCCCGGAGGTCTCTCTCAATATTAGTTAAAAAAACCCCAGCTAGCTCATATTTGAATCGGCTTAGAGAGAGCGCCCGTTTGTCTCCCGGAGCCGTGTTCCATTCTAGCCCGTTAAGCCGCTGACTCAAAGCTTTATGTCACAGGAGAAGCCCTTTTTGCAGATAAGGGAAGATCCCCAAAAGTCAGCTCCGCTACCCTCTGCTCTGCAAACACGCACACACACACGCACACACAGACAGATTCAGGCGGGGGGAGGATGCATTTAAACATCTATCTTTAAGAAAAAAAAAGTAAAAAAAAAAAAAGTCAGTTTCAAGCCCTCTCCTTCCAGAAAGTTGAGTCCGCAGCTGTGACAAGGACAGTGAACTCCAGCCAAAAGCGCTGGAGAGCCGGAGCGGTGGGAGGTGGGAGGCTCAGGGGCTGGGCAGCATGCTTGGCTCCGCAGGTTGGACCGGGCTGGAGCCGGCGATGTTCACACGCTCCGGAGCAGACCTCTGGGAGACCTGCGGGAGGACGCAGGGGTTTGCAAAGAGATGGCGCCCTAGGAACGTGTGAGAGGAGAGCCAGAGCCCGGGCGGGACACCCACCGCCGAAACGGAGCGGAGAAA